CAGGAGACCTGGGGCAGGACGTGATGGTTACACCGTGCTTAAGAACCACCCTTTCTTTGAAGGGATAGACTGGAAAAATTTGAGATCTCAGACCCCTCCGCAACTTGCTATGGAACAAAAGGTACATATCTCACTCTTGATGTCGTTTACTTTCCCTCCAGAGTATACCTTTTATCCTATTGTTGAAATCTTCTTCCTTTTTGTTTTGAAAAAATAGTGTAATATAATGATTTCTCAAGTTTTCTTTCTAATTTTAAGACGCGATCTACTCGTGGCGGAGGTGATGATCGGGACTGTTCACAGTCATGTGGCAGCATAACCAAAATTGCTTCACTTGATTCATATGATTCTAAGTGGTATGTTACATCACTTGCATGACTTCATAATAGTAATTTGATGAAATAATCCTCCTAATAAGATGATTAAAAGGAATTTGTTTTATGACTACCCATTCTAGCATGTATGCAACCTTACCTTGATATGTGTAGAGAGGATGTTGACATGGTTAAAGCTGAAACATGCGAATAGACACTTAAATAGGCAAACATGTATTAGAGGATAAGCTTAGTCCCTTCAAAGCTGGCTGTGAAATGGAATACCAGCAGTAACAAGAGTTTTGTTTCTGAACAGGCAAGCATTTCTGGAGGCTGGGGAGACTGTTCTTATGACTTCTGCAATGAAGAAAATGCAGAAAATTACGAGTAAGAAAGTACAGCTTATCCTCACTAACAAGCCCAGGCTTATTTACTTAGACCCATCAAAGCTTGCTGTGAAATGGAATACCATCTGGTCTGACAATCCCAATGATCTTAGCGTTCAAGTCACGGCCCCTTCGCAATTGAAGATTTGCACGGTACTTCCATGCGCTCCCTTAATACATTAACACACACACACACACACTGATGGGTATATCGGGACTCTGCTCATTGTAAACAGCCAATTTATTCATTTAATTGTAATTACACCTGCCAAGCCCGATCCACCTCTAGGGGAAGCCCACCCAAAAGGGGTTGGAGCGACCCGACCTGGAAGTGAGACGCAGGCCCACGTGAAAAGGGTCTTCTTGTTATGGATCATAATTAGTGGTTGTATAGTTGTAGTTTGGATGAGAAGTGAAAATGGAAAGAAAATATTATTGTTTGGATGAGCTGAAAATGGAGAGAAAATGAAGAGAAAAAGTGAAAAAGGGTCTTTGTACATGAAAAAACATCTTTTGTTTTGCATTGCTACAGCCAAAGAAAATTTTGTTGTTTGAAGATGCTAAGCAGAGGGCATTTCAGTGGAAAAAGGCAATTGAATCCCTTCAAAACAGGTGAAAATAAGTTTAAAGCAATTGTTTTTTTCACCTTTCTTTCCATTGTGTTCCAACTTTCTTTGCTGAATTTACTACTTCTGTTACCATCAAAGCAGGCCGGAGGCGGGAATCCATTCGGGCAGCGGCGTAGGGAACACAGCCGCCCAGCCACAGCTTGACAATCTCTTCAGAAATAACATGTTTAGAAATTAACAAATTTGATAAATTTGTCATTAAATAAATGAAATTTATATTAAATATTGCTTCAAAAATAATTTTATTAAATTTATAATGTATTATATTTTAAAAATATTACTCTACCTAATTATTATACCATGTAATTTTTATTTAATTTAAGGTTATGTATAAATACTGGTTGAATGGAAAAAGTTAAAATTGGATAAATATTAAGTCCTGAGAAGTATGAAATAGTCAAAGTTAGCAACGGAAGAGTAAATAATATGAGTATTAATGAGTAATTCTCATTTTGGAATAAAATGTTCAAAAAAGTCTTACGCAAAGTGTGTTTTTATGGGTTTTTTAAGTTGCTACAATAAAAATAAAGAGTAGTTCAACATTGTAATGTAAGAATGTAAGATTAACATCGTTAGAGTATCTCTAATCATTTAACTTTGGCTGGTTAAAAGCCATAATATAGCAAGTTAACTTTCTCCTTTCTAATGGATTTGTTAAATTTTAACAAGCTTGCCAAAAAATGATTTGACTTGCTAAATATAATAAGCTCTTCAAATTATAGGAAGCTAAAAAAATAGTAGAATAGATTAGCAAGCTATTGTTGGAGAATAGAATAAAACATCACTTGCTATATCATTATTCACTTGTTAAAATACAAAAATAGCAAGCCAATATACTAAAAAAGGTTGTAAATGCTATTAGCCTTAAAAGATAAAGTGGTATTATTTTGGTATAAATAAATTATCCTAAATAGAAAATAAAAAATATAGAAAAGTATTAAAGTTTTATATTTTTATTTTCAAAAAAAGAGTTTATACTGTGATAATGTGATATTCTATATTAACATTTTACAATACTTTCTGATAATGTATATAGTCATGAATGACATTGTATATGCAATTTAACTCGTATTTTGGTAATAAAAAATATGTAACTCTTATTTTGATATATTTTTTCTCCCTCCGTCGAAATTTAAAGAAAGTGAATGAAATTTGACTTTGTAAATAGTAAACAGACAATTTAAATTAAGACGGAGGATATATGTTTTATTCTTGCTTTATTTTCACTTTGATGTATAAAATGTGATGTATGATGATTTTTATTTTATCCACACATTGTTTTAGGTATATTATTTATGTCAAAAAATTTTCATTTAAAATTAATAAAAAGTATTAATTCATTTGTATCCTTATATTTGTTACATGAATAGTAATACACATTTTAAAAAATGAAAAGTTATATGAATTACTCCAGTATAATTTTAAAAGTAAAAAAAATAAGAGTGAGCGTGAATCACACAAATATTTAATATGATTTAGAACAAAAATATAATGGTATATAATAAAAATAAAAAAAGATAAAAAATTGAAATGGTAGAGCATACATTATTTTAAAAAAATATGAAAGTTATGAAATGCAATAATTATTTTAACACTTTTTTATTTTTTCAAGTCCTTCAAGTTTTTCCAATTCATTACGATTTCTTTCAACTCTTTTTAGTGTCATTTAACTTTTTTTAATTTCTTCTAGCTCATTCTAATTCGTTCAAATTTTTTCTAACTTCTTCCTATATCTTTCAACTACTTACTTTTCAACTACTTACTGTTTTGAATTTATAGACAATGTTTATTATTTCACTTTATTTATGTGTTTTTTTGCTTGTTGGCATACAAAATTTATTTGGGATATGGTCTTTGATTTCATAGGGCAGCACACAAACTTTTTATGTGAATTTGTACTTTAAACATTGTCCAAATTATAAAGAGTCAATTTAATATCAATTTAATTCTCCTTTCGTACAATAAAAAAGTTCCAGGTTTTCAAAAAAAAAATTGGGCGGTCCTTATAGTTTTTTACTAATTTAATTCTAAGATTACATCATTTAAATTTAAGATTAATGGAAAGAATGTGACAACATGGAACGAGTGCAAGGAGTACTAGAAAATAGAAATCATTTAAATATATGATTAATGAGAAAAACTAGAAGTTATTTAAATCTAAGACAAGATTACTCGGGTGGTCCTTATAATTTTTAAATTATTTAAATCTAAGATTAATGGAAAGAATGTAGCAACATGGAAGGAGTACTAGAAAATAGAAATCATTTAAATAATGAAAAAGACTAGAAATTATTTAAATCTAAGATAAGATTTTTGGAAAATACGAAATACTAGAAATTATTAAAATATAAGAGTAATAGAAAAATAAAATACTAGAAATCAATTAAATCTAAGATTAACGGGAAAAAAAAAGATTATAAATGATTTCAGTGTAATATAAATAGAAAACTTTTTTTTTTTAGGAAAATGAAAAAATTATAGTTTATTTAAATCTAAGAGGTATTTTTCCGGTTTTGATTTCTTTTAGGTAAATGAATCTAGATATCATTTACTCTCTTTTTCTAAGAGGTATTTTTCCGTATTAATGAAAACGCTAGAATAGTAGTAAATAATGGAAAAACTAAAATACTATAGAATAGGAGTCCTTTAAATGTATAATTTAAAAATATTAAAATAGGAAAGGATAATATTTTTGGACTCCTTTGTAGCAATTTCATCATAGATCAAAGAAATAAAATTTTTTATCTAAAAAAGAAGTTTTTTCTTTTTCTGACAAAAAAAGGTGGAGATCATAAATTTGCCACTAACAAAAAAAAATGGCTATAATATATATATATATATATATATATACCTAAATATTTGCGCTTACATTTGAAAGCTTAAATTGACACAAAATTTTAGTGTGGTTGTAAAATTTTGCATTGGCAATTTGTTTCAATGTAAACGATCAATCTCACACTTACATTGACACAAAATGTAAGAATTAATTTTTGAGATATATTTTGGGGTACAATCTTTAAAATACAAGTAGATTTATATTTTGGGGTACAATCTTTATATTTTTTGTATCTAAATTTGAACAATTACAGAGCAGGACAATTCGAACGCATTTCATTTTGTCTCGATCCTGAATATTAAAGGACAATGAGGGACACAATTGTGGCTTGAACCGTTTGAAAAAAACGAGATAAAACGTAGGATGATATATAATTCAAACCGTCTCGACCCGTGCCCACCCCTGCTTAAAAAATAGAAAAGTAATTTGTGCGATATGTATTAGTAAAATTTGCACTAAATATGACTAAAATATAAGTTATTTTCCAATGTAGAACTTAAATTATTTTATTTCTTTAATATGATTTAATAATGTATAGACAAAGAAATAATATCTAATAATAAAATATATTTATTTGAATAATAACTAATTAATAGTAATCAATGCCCTAATGGTCCTATATTAAAATATACTTCCTCCGTCCCACTTTAGATTACAATATTCTCTTTTTTTTGAAATTAAGGAAAAGTCAAATCAAATTTTTTTTCTCCAAATTACCCCCAAATCCCCCAAGTATCCTTCCCACTCACATGGATGAATAGTGTGTGAATAGTGTAGGAGTAGAAGGGTAAAAGAGTCCATTCCTTGTAAAGTTATTGAATTTGTAATGGGATAAAAATGTGAGATCGGGATTGATGGAGTAAAAAAGATAGTCGTCCACTCCATTTATTATTCAAGTGACATTGAGTACAAATCACTGCCTAGGGGAAGCTATAAACCAGCGGCAGAGCTCTCGGGACGATGATGCGATGATACCTCCGGCGGCTTCATTCCCCGTTTACCCTCACCGGCCCGTCGCCGATTCATTCCACAACCGACTCATTGACATCGTTAAAATTGCTCTCATCAAAATCTTCGTCTCTCCTTACGCCACAGTAAGTTCCTCGTTCTACATATCTCTCTTACAACCGGCAGGCCTTTTGATACTTTTCTTAAAAAAATTTTAAATTAAGTTCGGCTTCTATGTCAATCTGTGTATGATTAGGTTTGTGAATTGTACTGTGGGAAAGTCCCGAACGAAGAAAAATGGGATGAAGCTCACATTAGCCACTACATTGGGATTGGTATGATCGCATTTCTTTGAATTGTTTATTGATTCCTTGTTTCCAGGTTTGAATTATTCCCCGTTGTTTATTTTCACCCCATTGCAGATGTAGCCACTTCCGGAATGAATGAGAAAAAGGAAGCATGGGAGAGTCTGCGCAAGGTTTACACTACTGAGCTGATTGAGCTTGATCCTTGCACTGTAAGGCTCTTAATCTGCTTATGCTTGTTTATCTACACATCAAGTAATAGTTATGATACAATCTGTTTCTGTGTCTATCAGCAATGCTGTCGTTTTCTTTATTGCATTCCTTTGTGGAACATTTATTGTGTTCTTTTAGAAGAGTCATTGTGTCTTTATAATAAATAGGAAATTTGGGAACTGGGAGTGAGGGAAATGGGATACATGGATTTTCTTCAATTTTGATCTGATGCGGGAAGAAAAGGGAAACATAATAAACGACCTCTCTTGGTGTATAGTGAAATTGGGCATGGATAGTTAATGCTTCTGCCTAATTGGATGATGATAGTGATTCTCTTGTACGAGTTCTTTAGGTCAGTGGGAGTGTCTCAATGTTCATATTCTGTGAGTATAGAACAATGGGTGATTTTCATTGGAGGTTAATGCCTTCATTGCTTGATTTGTTTCTATAAATTCCTATATGATTTTTCTTCAAACTAGTATTAATATAATGATATACTCCGTATTTTTTATTACGTCTTGTTTATACTGAGATTAAGTTTGTATGATATATATCTTTCTAAAGGACTGCATATCCATTATGCAGGAAGATTTGAAAACACATCGTCGGGATAAAGACAATGAGGCTGATATTGTTTTCTGCATGCACAATTTACAGGTTCAATATCTTCCATGTGTCCTTATCTGGCTGACATTGTATGTTCATATCCTCTGAAAGTTCCAAACAAACCATCTGTGTTTGTAGTTGTGCTTTGAAACAGAAGAAAAAACGAGGAAGCTGTTGCATAATGTTTCATCTTTGTTGAAACCTGGTGGTTATTTTCTTGGTATCACAACTGACTCATCTACTATATGGTACATCACTAAATGCTAATTGCTTCTTATTCAACTTGTTTCTTGTTTGTTGTGTTACTTGTGTATGCACATGCTTTAGGTTTGACCATATCATTCTGTTTGCATTTCTTTGCAAATCTTACTTGGCTGTGTTAGAAAAAGTCAATCATTTTTAATTAGTCTTTTAATAAGTTGTTAGATTAATTAGTTGTATTTACCTATTCTTATGCTAAGTGGGATATGCTCTGCGTAGTGATAGGTAGTGGAGTACTTGATCCTATTTTTTTGCTTTGTTTTAGCCTATAAAAGGCACACTACTCTTGGATGAAATAATATCAGAGAATTCCTCTTCTTCTTTGGCTTCTACGGAGTACATTCCTGTGCTTCCTTGTGTTTAATATACTCAGTATTTCTCTCTTCTTGAGTGCCCATAAAGTGTTTGATAATATTCCTGAAAGAGTTTTCCTTTCACATTTGGTATCAGAGCCTAGTTGATATAATATAGGAAGAGTTAAAGCTGATTCATGGCGTCAGACAGTTTTGTGCAGCCCTCAATTCCACGCTTTAATGGTCATTATAACCATTGGAGCATGTTGATGGAAAACTTCCTGCGGTCCAAGGAGCTTTGGATCGTGGTTGAATCTGCAGTAGCAGAACCAACCGCAGGAATGGCAGCAGAGCAGCGAGAGAGGCTGGAAGGTTTGAAGCTAAAGGATCTCAAGGCAAAAAACTATCTTTTCCAAGCAATTGATCGGACCATCCTGGAGTCTATTCTTGGCAAAGATACCTCCAAACAGATTTGGGATTCAATGAAGAAAAAATTCCAGGGAAATACCAAGACGAAGAGGATGCAACTACAAGCACTACGTTCGGAGTATGAATCACTTCGAATGAAGGTAGGGGAAAAAGCTACTGAGTACATTTCCAGAGTAATGACGTTGGTTGGTAGCATACGGAGCTATGGTGACCAGATAAGCGAAACTGTTATTGTTGAGAAAATACTTCGTTCTATGGCACCAAAATACAACTTCATTGTGTGTGCCATAGAGGAAGGAAATGATATATCAACAATGACACTGGATGAACTTGAAAGTTCATTACTCAGTCATGAAAAGAAGATCGATCAACAAGTTAATGAAGGTGAACAGGCATTAAAAGCTTCAACTGATGGTCGTTCTGAGGGTGCTAGCAAGCCAAATCATGGAAGAGGTAGAGGAAGGGGACACTCACCACACCAAAACAATCATGGAAGAGGAAGAGGTCGAGGTCGATATCCTTCAAACAACCATGGATCAAGGTTTGTAGATAAATCTACTGTTGAGTGTTATAGGTGCCACAAGTTTGGACATTTCAAGAATGAGTGTCACACTAACCTCCAGAAAGACAAAGGAGAGAGGTCAAACTTTGTTGGGACTGAGCAGGAGGAGGAGATCTCTCTTTTGTTGGTGAGCAATGATAAAGAAGACACCAACAAAAGGCACATGTGGTATCTTGACACTGGTTGTAGCAATCATATGTGTGGGGACAAGTCTGTATTCTCTAGTTTGGATGAAGCCTATCGAGATATTGTGAAGTTTGGGAACAACTCCAAAGTTGCTGTTATGGGTAAGGGAAAGATAAGTATCAATACCCAAAGTAACTCAAATCACATAATCTCCAATGTTCTTTTTGTTCCTGAACTAAAGACAAATCTGCTGAGTATTGGACAAATGCAAGAAAAGGGTTATGAGGTTGTCATTAAAAGGGGAGTGTGTAGGATTCAAGATGACAGATTGGGGCTGATTGCTGAAGCAAAAATGACTCGAAACAGGCTGTTTCCTCTTCATCTTGAGAGCCTAAGTCAGAGGTGTTATTCAGCAGTGTCTGATCAAGCGGCTTGGCTTTGGCATCACAGGTATGGGCATCTGAATTTTGGTGGTTTAAAAGCTCTCCAACAAAAGAACATGGTGATAGGTCTTCCAAACTTTGATAATCCTTCAAAGGTTTGTGAAGATTGTGTCATTAGCAAACAACATAGAGTTCCATTTCCAAAAGGTGTTTCCCAGAGAGCAAAACAACCCCTGGAAATTGTCCATTCAGATATTTGTGGTCCAATAAATCCTACATCAAATGGAGGAAAGAGGTACTTCATAACCTTTATAGATGATTACAGTAGAAAAATCTGGGTTTATTTTCTACTAGAGAAATCTGAAGCTTTTACTGCTTTTAAGAGTCTCAAAGCACATGTAGAGAAAGAAAGTGGCTACTCAATTAAAGTTCTAAGAACTGACAGAGGAGGAGAGTATTGCTCACATGAATTCGAAAGTTTTTGTGAGCAGAATGGCATCAAAAGGCAGTTGACGACAGCATATACGCCACAACAAAATGGTGTATGCGAGAGGAAGAACCGCACCATCCTTGATATGGTCAGATGCATTTTAAGCAGGAGTGGCATTCCAAGAAGTTTCTGGCCAGAAGCAGTCAACTGGTGCGTTCATATATTGAACAGAAGTCCAACTTTTGTTGTTCAAAATATGACACCAGAAGAAGCATGGAGTGGAAGGAGACCAACAGTTGATCATTTCAAAATCTTTGGATGCATCGCTTACGCTCATATTCTGGATGAGAAGCGAAAGAAGTTAGATGACAAAGGAGAAAAATGTATCTTTCTTGGTGTTAGTGGTAATACAAAAGCCTACAAATTGTATAACCCTAACACTAAGAAAATTGTCATAAGTAGAGATGTAGTCTTTGATGAAGAAAAATTCTGGGAATGGAATGAAGGGAACTCTAAACAAGGAGTCCCAGTTGAGTTTGATGAAGAAATAGAGGGTGAGCAACAAGTTCTTCCCAATCAGAACAATTCTCCAGTAGAGGAAAATCAGTCTTCAAAAGATGACGAGCTCCCTCAACGAACGAGAAAGAGGCCTGCGTGGATGATTGATTATGAAGTCTCTGGAATTGATCAATCAGATCAATCTGATGATAATGAACTCACATATCTTGCTTTGTTTTCAGATTGTGAACCAGTAACTTATAACGATGCCACAACAGATCCAAAATGGAGAAAGGCGATGGATGCAGAGATTGATTCCATTGAAAGAAATAATACTTGGGAGATGGTCGAACTTCCTGAAGGACAGAAACCCATTGATGTAAAATGGGTTTACAANAGGTATATATAAATCAACCCCCTGGCTATGTTAAAGTAGGCAATGAGCATAAAGTATATAAGTTGAGAAAGGCTTTATACGGCTTAAAACAAGCCCCACGTGCATGGTATAGTCGTATTGAGTCTTATTTTATCAAAGAAGGTTTTCAAAAGTGTCCTTATGAACATACATTGTTCGTAAAATCAGAAGGAGAAAAAATGCTCATTGTTTGCTTGTATGTGGATGATTTAATATATACCGGGAATGACAAGAATATGTTTGACGTTTTCAAGAAGTCGATGATGAAAGAGTTTGACATGTCTGATCTTGGATTGATGCATTATTATCTTGGTATAGAAGTGATGCAATTTGCAGCAGGTATATTTATTTGTCAAAGGAAATATGTGCAAGACATGTTGAAGAAGTTTAAGATGGAAAACTGCAATCCATCTAAAACTCCCATGGAAGCAGGTATGAAATTTGTGAAGAATCCAGAAGGAGAAACTGTTGACAGCACTCTTTATAAGCAAATGGTGGGAAGTCTGATGTATGCGACTGCGACAAGACCTGATATCATGTATGCTGTAAGTGTAATCAGCAGGGGGCATCCAAAGCAAATTCATCTTACAGCTGCAAAAAGGATTCTCAGATACCTTCAAGGGACTGGGAATTATGGCTTATTGTACAAAAGAGGAGAAAAATCAAGCTTGTATGGATTTACTGATAGTGGCTATGCTGGAGATATTGAAGATAGGAAAAGCACGTCTGGCTATGCATTTATGATGGGAGCAACGGTGATTTCTTGGTCATCCAAGAAACAACCCATAGTCACGTTATCAACAACCGAAGCTGAGTTTGTCGCAGCAACAACCTGTGCGTGTCAAGCATTATGGTTGAGAAGAATACTAGAAGCATGTCATTTTCAACAAGAAGGTCCCACTACTATCTTCTGTGACAATAGTTCAACCATCAAAGTGTCTAAAAATCCAATGTTTCATGGAAGATGCAAACATATTAATGTTAGAAGATTTTTTCTGAGGGATCTGGTTAAAGAAGGAACTATTGAATTGGTGTATTGCAGAAGTGAAGATCAGGTTGCAGACATTTTTACTAAGCCGCTCAAGTTGGAAGCATTTCAGAAATTAAGAGAGCTACTTGGAGTTTGTCTGCAGGAGACTAGCAATAATTAAACTGGCATTTATTAATGTTCAGTTTAAGGGGGAGTTTGTTAGAAAAAGTCAATCATTTTTAATTAGTCTTTTAATAAGTTGTTAGATTAATTAGTTGTATTTACCTATTCTTATGCTAAGTGGGATATGCTCTGCGTAGTGATAGGTAGTGGAGTACTTGATCCTATTTTTTTGCTTTGTTTTAGCCTATAAAAGGCACACTACTCTTGGATGAAATAATATCAGAGAATTCCTCTTCTTCTTTGGCTTCTACGGAGTACATTCCTGTGCTTCCTTGTGTTTAATATACTCAGTATTTCTCTCTTCTTGAGTGCCCATAAAGTGTTTGATAATATTCCTGAAAGAGTTTTCCTTTCACAGGCTGTACGTATTCATTTGACAACACAATTTGAAATGGTTGATTGGTCCTTGGTGTCTAGTGCCTAGGTGGGGCTTAGTCGGGATCAAGGTGGTATAGAGATTTGTTTCACATTATTCAACTCATTTAGTCGCTCGAATAGGTACAAAATGAGTTCATAATTGAGATGAGTGTAGTTATGTAAAACTCATTTGAAACAAATCTTTACACTCAGTTCAAGAAGTATAAGACTTCATAAGCTATTAAGCTTTTCATTACACACATTACAGATTCATTTTTTATGTGAAACTCATTTGGTCATAGGGGAGTTCAGAAAGGATCTGGTCGTAGATAGACACTGAAATATGTGCAATTAAGGCCACCTGGGCAAGATAACAGAAAATGTAGGCAGCCAGTATCACAATTGTGGATGTAACCATATCTATAGGGTGTTTGGGGTTTTATTTGAAAACAACTTTTAAGCTTTTACTTTACCCAAGTGCAGTTTTGGGTGTTTGTCAAATCAGTTTCTGCTTATTGCTTATGGCTTTAGATGTGCAAAATAGGCTCCAAAAGTGCTTTTAAGCAAAATTAGGATAAGGTGATTTTTATTTCTGACTTTGGCTTCTGCTTCTGCTTTTTCGGGAATCCACCACATTGCCTAACACCCTCATAGTCTCTGGTTACTGTTGAGTTGGTTAAAATGGTTTGTAAGTGCCATTCTCCCAGTCCCACATTATGAAATGACAAGAATATTTTTAAATTTTGAAAATGACGATCTGTACCACCCCGTTAATTACTCAAGCACTACATTCACACATGGGTACAGAGTCACCAAGTTAACAATTATCAACATAATTTAGGGAACAAAACTTATACATGCTACTACATACATTATTAGCTTACATAGAAGGAAACCCTTGTTCCTTGTTTAGTTTCCTTCAAACTACCATGTCTGCATACATCAGTATTTTCCCCACAGTTCCAGTTGTCTTGTCAATGCCAATAAGCACTAACCCCCTGTGCATATAACATACTCCTGAATAACTCTTTCTCCGCCCTTGCCCTCAGGTACATAACATAAAACTAATTACCTTGTTAAGAATTATGGGCTCATAATGGGCTCCTCTTTTGAAAAAGGAAAAATTGTCATGTTATTTGTACTTTGACGGGAATCTGAATCTGTTCCCATTTAAACCTTCCATTAGATTTTATATAGAAAAATGTACTCCCTTCGTCTCAAATTAGTTTTCCCACTTTGACCTCACAGAGATAAAGAGACATGTTGAAATTATGTTTGAAAAGTAAAAAGTGAGTGGTTACAATTTGTTTAGAAGGGAGAGAAGTATTTTGGATCACATGTTCTTTTCCAAAAAGGGAAAGAGAGAAAGTAAGAGATAATTATTTTGGGATGAACAGAGAAGAAAATGAGAAGGCTTTTATGGGACGTGGGGGAGTATTATGCTATTATGTCCTTACCACATTACTGTGACAGGGCAAAGTACCAGAAGAATGTTGAAGCCTGCCACAACAAGGGTAGCGGAATGAAGCCTAACATGGTCCCCAATTGCATTAGAACTGAGAGTTACACGATAGCTTTTGAGGTTGAGGAAGAGAAGTATGTAGGGATTCCTTATTTTGACCTTTTTTTGTATTTTTATGTTTCATTCAATTACCAATTTTCCTATAATTTGTTTGCAGGTTTCCTTTTTTTGGAATGAAGTATCAATTGAAGTTTGCGAATGATATATCTGCAGAAACACAGTGTCTGGTTCATTTCCCAAGCTTGATCAGGTTCTGCTAGGCCTAACATCTGAGATAACTTATACGGAGTATGTTTAGTTATTGAGACATGGAAAGCTCTATATTGACTTCAGAGATTTTCTCCTTAGGTTGGCCAGAGAGGCTGGACTTGATTATATCGAGATTCAAAACTTGACAGATTTTTATGATGATTATAGGTATGGATTTTTACCTACAACTTTAGTGCTCAATGTATTTACTCATATTTCTTGCACTAATCACTAATGATTTTCTTTACACTATGGTTCAAGGATTTTTTAAGAGAACAAAAAAGAAAATTAGAGAGAGAACAATTTTTTTTTGTTTGGTTACAGAGGAACAAGAAAAAGAAAGGAAAGTGGAAAGAAATGAAAATGGAAGAAGAAATACTCTAAGAAGGAAAATGATTTCCCTTCCATTTTAGCAAGGAAAAGGAGAGAAAACCTTTCTTTTCTTCTCCATTCAAAATTTGACGAACCAAACATAGTGTTAAAGTTCCTTCTATACTGTGTTCCTGCATGAAGACTGATCTTATTTTCCTTTGTTTACTGTCTCATAGGGCACAGTTTGTAGGAATGCTACAAGATGCCAACCATACTCTCACAGATACTAGGGGCAGACTACTCCCTAGAGCCTATGATGTTTTAGGTGACCATCTTCACGTGTTTGTTTGTATAATACTTTAAATTCAAGGGCTAATTAACTCATACAATTTCTCTCACACATTCTCTCAACTTAGATACAGATTATATTAATTGCAGGCCTTTTCACCACCTTTATATTTCAAAAGCCTGATCCAGACATTACCCCACCTCTGATGACTCAATTCATATTAAACAAAGGCTACGATGATGATGAGGCAAGTAAATATGATAGTACAAAGCACATCTGTTAAGCATTCCGTCAAGTGCATCACTCTCTGTTTCATTTATTTGTGTAATCTTTGTTTCCTCCTTGTAGATGATGCCACAGATGGAATGCCAAGGAACTGTGTGGAGAGATGATGAGAGGAACGGGCAGCCCGATCCATCTCTGGGGTTGGCCAAGATAAGTGAACAAAAGGGGATATTGGGTCCGGGCCCCGCACAATTTCGTTTCCCCGAAGCACTTTGACTGAGAAACATCAAGAGGATTGCTGCTTGCCTCTCTCTCTCTGTACTCTGTAAGGTTAGTACTTAGTAGTTTTACTCTGTTGCGTAAGGATGTTTATATTTCTCACTAGCCTTGAAATGGAGTTGTTAGCAAACTCCCCGGTAGCCATATTATTGTTGTTAATAGTGTTATTTTGGCATTCACAAAAATTGACAGTTCTCAAATTGTTGCTATAATTTAAGGGTGATGCATAGTGTACACCAAACTATATATTTTTTTGCACTTCAAAGACAAGATCTGTGTGCGCACTAACAAAGATTCATTTGTGACCCACCGACAAATCTATGAAGCGCAAAAATGAAGTTTGGTTTACACCTTAGTGTAAACTTCGGTGTGCACCAAGCGTTTTTTATTAAAAACAATTTGTGTGAAACTCTCAACTCTTTTTAACGCTTACAACCCCTTATCGAAGGGGTATTTTAGTAAGATGCAACTTGGATTATTCTTAGCTTCTCATTGATCACAAACTTTATAAACTACATAGCTAACAAATTATGTGTCATGGTTGAGACGGGTGTTGATATTTGACAACAATTCATTGGTTCTTGTACGTCATTGGTTCATTCCTTTTCGATTGTGCAAGTGTGCAAAAAAAAATGAATTTATTTACTAAAAACATAATTTTTTACGGAGTATTTAGGCTCTGTTCTTTTTGGTAATTACCGAGTAAACTTTATTTATAGTATTTGGAAACTAAAATGAATTATAACATTTGATTTGTAATTATGAATATGTTATGCCAACCAAATCCAACTGATATTTGTCCATTGGCCAGCAAGATTGAAGTAGGATTGGAATATGGCGGAGGACATATTTGGAGTAGCAGTGGAATTCAGGGTTGGTGTTAACGAAGAATTGCCCTCGAGGGCATATCAGGCATTTCACAATTTTTTTACGATGGAATCCGATTGCCCCCCTATAAGATTTAGTGATTTATACAATACACAAAAGGTCTTCAAGTGTGATAAGAGTGTTGAATTCTTATTCAGCAAACATTGAGGCTCAATTTGGTACACAGAAATTTAGACTGTGGAATTAGAATTGGAAACAAAAATTCTAATTTTGTTGTTTGGTAATACAAAAATATGTATATTTGAAATTGGTAGTGTCAAAAATGAATTGGAATGGGAGAACTCAAATTTTACCTAAATCAATTCCATAGAATTTAACCTCTCAATTCAAGTTCAATGCTATCAATTCCGTGTATTAAACATACCTCTATTGAGCAAATGAGTGCTAAGAGCACACAAGTGAATTCATATATCACATTTAAGGAGTTTGTAGTCAATCAAACACATTTATACTTCAACTGTCTCATTTTTTGTTTTGATTTTGACATTTGGTTTGTTTTTTGATAAAGTAAAAATAGTGAGACTAAAATGTATTTGAGAAACATAATTTCATTGCAAATTTTTTTCTCTTGGAAAGTGAAAAAAAGGGATGTAATTGAGGGATAATTTTTTTAAATGGTGGGTTCTAAAAGAATTACAAGGACTTCTAAAGATTTGATCCTTTGCAAATTTTTAGATGCACTATAGTGTTACAAGGACTTCTAAAGATTTGATAATGGAGGGATTATTTTTTTGACCACTAATAATTCTATAACATTTACAATACTCCATTTTTGTTTATACATATTTTTTCAACTTATTGATATACCAAGAGTCTGTCTTCATTAAGGGTTTAACCCGTTGTTATCTTCCATTAAGAAGAGTCACTATGGTGTTATTGGACCACAAGACCTTTGGCATAATCCGCATTAACAAGCTAAATTTGAATTGAGCATATGTTTGTTTTCTTGACATGTATTTATAATGAAAAATGAAAAAAATGCATTGAGTAATGACAAAATTAACAGGCAGAGGCGGACTCACGTTGAGTCCCACAGCGTACCGGGACCCACGAACCTCCACGTAGGATTTTATATATATTAGGTGTTCTGATACTTATAGAGTTATAGTATATAAACTAACAAATTCAGAGTGAAAAAAAGTCATGAAATGCTGTTGATTTTTGGGAGGGGAGATCTAAGGTTGGATTCTTAACTACTCTATTCTTATTCTTTAAATGGACCTCAATTCTATCCTCAAGTACTCTAAAAAAACATTTTTATGCAATATATTCTATTGTATTTTTGAAGATATTTTTTTTGCATTAGTATGTATTACTGCATTAGACTTTCAATTTAAATGAATATTAAATAATTATTAAAGTTCTTTCAATTTGACCATCAAATTACCCAAATACACGTGTTATTTAAATTTTTAGTTTAATTTTTTTATGAGTGGTTTCAAAATTTAGTGGAGTTGGAAAATGAAATGAGAACCTCCAATATACATCAACTTATCCTCATACTTTAATAATACACAAGAAATACAATGTTGATCTCATTTCTCATTGTTGCCAGAAAATCTAAAAAAACATATTTTTTAATTTTAATTATTTTGAATGTAAAACTTTAAAACTTCAAACTTGTACTCTTTGTGGTCATTCACAAAATTGTGGGTTTAGAATATATTGATGTATGTAAGGAGTTTACAATTTTTATTGGTCTTTTTACAAGTATTTTTTTCTCAAAAAAAAGAAAACCTAAACAAAGCTATCTTCGTTTTATTTGTATTCTTCTTACAATTTAGTTTCATTTTTAATGTATGATAAAGAAGGATGATAAAGAAGGATTATGGATATGTCTAAATTTTTGTTCTAATATGAGGCTTTTGACAAAAAAATATTATATCCTATTACTAAATTTTATTTTTAAAAAATTGTCATATGTAGAAGTTATAACTTTGAAAAATCCATTTGAGAATCATATTTAGAATGTTCATTTAAATAGTAGTTTTTTTTAGTTTTTTTAACATGTGAATAATTACTAAGTATAAATGTATGCTCTCAATTTATGAAACGAGACCCCATGTTTATTGATTCTTGGATCCGCCTCTGTTAACAAGAAGACTGATTATCCAATACTAACATGACTTGGAAAACTACTATAAAAATTTTTTAAGTTAGAAGACAAACTGTGTGACTAAAAAACTTTAAGAAGTAATTTTTCTTTGACAAAAAAATGGTGTGGATCTGTAGTTTACTATGAGATCAAAAGGAGAAAAATATAACTTAAGAATAAAAAAAGATTGGCTCTGCCTCTGTTAACAGGACTAATCATGCAACACTAACGTGACTTGAAAAACTATTTGTAACAATTTTTTAAGTTAAAAGAGTAATTGTGCATGACAAAAAAACTTGAAGGAGTAATGATGAATTTTAGCCAAAAAGATTATGTGAATCTCAAATTCACCGTAAGATCAAACCAAAGAAAATTATGGCTTAAAAAAAGTATTTTTTTTCCTTGACAAAGAAAAATGGTGTGGATCTTTATTTTACTAAGAGATCAAAGGAAGAAAAAAAAATAATTTAAGAAATAAAAAAATTGGCTCAGTATTAGCTATTTCATCATTATATACAAAAGTGTAATCAAACGAAGGAAAGTTGTAGTGTAAAAAGAAGTACTCCATTTTTTCCTTGACAAAGAGAAATGGTGTGGATCTTTATTTTACTAAAAGATCAAAAGGACAAAAAAATAATTTAAGAATTAAAAAAATTGGCTCAGTATTAGCTATTTCATCATTATATGTAGTCACCCATGGCTAATTGTAGTCACCATCGCCAAATGCACCAGCCGGGAATCGAACCCGGGTCTGTACCGTGGCAGGGTACTATTCTACCACTAGACCACTGGTGCTTTTTTGTTTTGCGAACACACTAAACGTTATTCATTATCTACGTAAACACAGTCTTATCCAGAGTACCAATGCAGTTAACGGTTAAGGATGGGGTCCCATACCGTCTCACCTTTACACTTGGCGAACGAACAGCCACAAACGTGTTTTTGTCGTGAAGCGAAAAAAAATGAATAATCAACCTATGACATTACATGAGTCGTCCCGCTTTTACTTTGTAGTGTCATAAACTATTTAATTTAAAGGTTATCTTTTGTACTCCCATTGCAAATTCTTTTTTTTTTTTTCAGTTTTTTGGAAAGGAGGAATATTTTAGGCGTGCATTTTTATAGAACTTTTATTTATGTTTTTTTGAAAGATCTTGTACGTGGCAGACAAAGAAAACAAGGTAGTAATTAGTTTAATAATTTGATTTTTATTTTCTTTGATTGATTTCAATATTTTTAATTTCAAAATGGAGCAATTATTAATATTCAATATTCTTTTTTGAATGTTTTTGACTCTATTAAAAGGTAATATCTATTCATACTATTTAAAAAATTATTAATATCCAATATTATTCAGACAAAATAAAATATCCAATATTAAATAAGAAAGGGAGTAAAATTATACTCCATATTTATGAAAGAGCATCTAACTAAAATAATTTTTAAAAATTCAAATACCTTAAAAATGTAAAATGTGATCAATAGAACGACTTGCCACTGCAATGCATCCACTTCACTCATTTGCCATTGTCTGGCTGAATTATTTCTAGTTGGTTGAAGCATATTACATCAACGTGTGGCATTCGATTTCGGTCTTGCCATTGCTCATGCTCTTAGAGCATGACAAAGGATAAAAGTGCATAACTTCCATTTTTAACTTTTCTACATAAAAAATGAATCACGATGGAGAAGGTATGTATATGAAAGGGTAGAATACCTTCTTCAATTTCGAAGGGGTAAATATATCATTTTCAATAAAGGAAGGTAAAAATCTGGAAGGCGGTTGATGGACTTGGAATTGACGGGAAGTAACAAGAAGCAAATGGAAAAGAAATTAATGATCAAAGGTTGAAAACAGAGTGATGAAATCAAAAGAGATTAGACCTAATTCTCATGAATTCAAAAAATCAAGAGAACGAACTTTTCTCTTGAATAGGGTTGGTGCCTTTTATGGTGGAAGACGGAGTGATGGTGAAAATAGATAGGGTCGTCAACAAGACTGAAAACAAAACATTACCCTTCTCTATTGGAGTTGTACATTTTTTAGAAGAGTAAATTTGATATTCTGGAGAAATAACTAAGATATATATATATACCTCTCCAAAATACATTCCATCATTAGGCAGATTTCTTAAATTATTTTTCAAAAAGGAAGGACTAAGTGGTTTTGAGACTGATAAAACTAGTCCTGGTGTGGTTCCAAATTTCCAATCATACAATTAAAATTAAAGAACTATTATAACATATTGAAATCTTACCGAACAAAGTGGTCCACGAGACAGGTCAGGTGTTAAAATAGTAGTCTCATTTATAATTTTAAATTAGGTGAAAAATTATACTCCCTCCGTTCCGGAGTATTCATCCAGCTTTGACTTTTGGAACTGTTCATCTAAGCACTTTGACTCATCAAATTCTCTGAATGTGTAAGCCTAAATATAGTCATGTGTGAACTTGTTTGATTTGTCTTAACATATAGATTATTAATATATAATTTCTATCATTTTTTAATATACAAATTACAAGACAAATACTCTGGGACGGAGGTAGTATCACTCTAAGACTGATTACCCTTTGTGGTCTCTAATTTTAGTTAGAGGTAGCAATCGGATCAACCGGATCGGTTTCGTGTTGAAATTTTTCGGTTCAGATATCTTTCTATTATATGTTATAATCGGTTCGGTTCGAATCGGTTAAATTTTGGTTCAGATTTGATTCGGTTCGATACATTTTTAGGTTCGGTTCGGTTTCGAATCGGTTCAGATACGGTTCGGTTATAAATGGTTCGGATAGATTTTGGTTCGGATACAATTTGAGTCGGATATATTTCGGTTTTGGTTCTAGTTCGGTTTGGATATATTTCGGTTTCGGATCAAATATATTTTGGATATATATTATTTTCTAATTGAAAGTTAACTATCCATATTTCTTTTTATGTTTTATCACATTTATCTATCATCAACTCAATATCTCATATTATTTTATATATTTTTTTAATTATATTATCTCTAACCTAAATAGTCTTCCCTTTTTGATTTTTTTTGTCATATTTTACAAATTTGGACTATAAATTGTGAAACTATATATATATTTAATTATTATACAAATTTAATATAATTAAATTGATTTTAAAATTTAGTTTTGAAATATCAAACTTTTCTCACAATTACTAATATACTTATGTTTATAAATGCAAAGATAAGAGATAAATTCAAATAGTGTTATGTTCCATTTGACTATAATTTGGGTGCAAAATTTATAAATTGTTGAGTGTATTTTGTTGAAAATAAAATAAATTAAATTTAATATAGTCAAATATAATTAATTTTACACTTAAATATAATGATGTAGATCAAATTTGAAAATGATAACACTAAATGATGTCGATCGCTAGAGAGTTTTTTCAAAATATTAACACTAGCATCTAATTTTATTGACTAATATTGAGTGAATTGGTTTGAAACTAATCAAATTAACTCTCAAATCAATAAAATTTATTATAATGGGATGAAATCAGGATACAATGGGATGAAATCAGGATACAATCTAGTTATTTCATACAATTCATCATATAATTCTTTCGTCTCAAAAAGAATATCATACTCCCTCCATCCTAAAACTTTCTTCCCAAAGCACTATTCCAACTTCAGTGAATTTATATTTATTTGTGTTTTTTCATGGCCTATATGATAAAATAAAATATTCTTGTCACCACTTGTTTTGTTGAACTTTTGATATAGTTTTTAAATATGTATATTTTATTTTTTATTTCTATACCAATATTTAAATAAAATAGATTGAAAAAACTTGGGATTTTTCTTCGTTTTGCGCAACGGGAAGAAAGATATAGGACGGAGGGAGTAATAAATATCGCACAAATTACTTTTCTATTTTTTAAATAGGGGTGGGCACGGGTCGAGACGGTTTGAATTATATACCATCCCACGTATGTATAACTTATCTTTAATTTTTACATATACTAAATTTAAGGCATAAAATTTTGTACTTTTTTCAAGAAGATAATCCATTTTATGAGGAAATGAGCAAGTAATATAATTAGTTCAAATGGTAAAATAAAAGTAAAAATTTAAAAATATAATACGCTTATTGAAAGGAAAACATAGTTCCAAATTTATCGATGTAGGTTCTAATCGGTTTCGGATATAATCGGTTTCGGATCTCATCGGTTTTGGGTTTTATCGGTTTCGGGTATTATCGGTTTTGGATCTAATCGGTTTCGGGTTTAATCGGTTCGGATATTATCGATTTCGGATTTAGATCGGATATGAATTATTTAGTTTGGTTTCGGTTCGATTCGAATCATTTCGGGTTTTCGGTTATAGATAGGATCTTCATTTTTCGGGTCATTTGGGTTTTGGTTTCGGATATTTCAGTTCGGGTAATCGGTTCCGATTCTGTTTTGCCAGGTCTAATTTTAGTTGTAAGACTAACAATATGATTGGTCTCGGAAAGATCAGTTTGACCCAACCTTTTAAAAAATATTTTCATATAAATGTATCAATTCTATTAACCAAATAAAAAATCTTAAAAATAAAGATGAGAGACTATACACTTGGAAGCAATATTTTTAACTTTATGCTTATATTCATGAGTTGTGATGACTATTAATAAATAAACAAATACTCTATAAAAGAATTCAATAGTCTCAGATGTTTGATCTTTTCCTCTTAAAATAAATGTCACTCATTTTTTTCCTTCCATCTGAGCTTCCAACTCGAGCATAGGGACAAACAAAGTAAACAGACGAACTTAATACAAAGTAAACAGACGAACTAAATACTATAGCGCAAATGAAATATGAACCCAAAGATGTGAAGGGCACTAACCAACTTAGAATATGTTTTATATCTATAATTTCGTGTGTGTGTTTAAGAGATAATCTTTACAAAACATTCATGCACATAGAGTGTATTAAGCCTCTAAACGATAACAAAAAAACTTGATTATAGTTGCCAATCACCAATTGGCTACTAAGAAAAATGGCTTTTGAATTAGTAATGCAAAAGCTTAATTAGACAAGAGCAATGAAACAACCTACATGGATATGGATTGCTCTTCTAGTCCTCAAGCTCAATGATCTTCACAACAGAAGAATCTCCTATCTTCTGGCATACCACAACCCGGTCATGCGGCTTTATTACCCCCATGCCCTTCCCATGCTCCAGCGCAATCTTCAACACTGACTCGTTTGTTGCGTTAGTAGTGGACTCGGCCTGCAGGGGCAAATGCGGGTATTTGTTCAAACACATCAAATAATTAGTCATGAGGCCACAGAATATTATCTCATTGATAAGCCATAACAGTTGCACGGCTAGGGACTATTTGGGAAAGAAAAATCTCACCGGGTGTCGAGGATCAGCAAGCATGGGGAAAAGGCCTCTGACTATGAGAGATTGTCTTGCCTGCTAATTGTTTCATCAATCACATACTTAGTGCCAAAGGTTTGCAGAACCATCAAACCTAAATGACATTTTCAGTTGAAAGAAGTAAAGGTATAATGTACCTCAAAAGCCCCAGAAAATGTCCACCTAAGTTGGTTGCTCTTCATGAGAGGGATAACAACAGATAACACCGGCATTGTTGGCTTATACTTTGCTATTAATCTGCATAGCCAAGGAAAGTTCTTCATTTATATTACAGCATGTGCATTGTGCCATCAAGGATACACAGAATTTCATAGATGTTCTTTAGATGCTCAGAACAAGGTATGTAGGTCCGTTTAGAAACCTCAAAATGATAGTGAAAGAGAAAGTATGGAAGATAATAGAGATAAATCATTTTAATCGTGTTTGATTATTCTTTATGTTCTTAAATGTAACACCATACATGAGAAAATAATTATCATTGTCATTTAATTATACTTTCTCTGGCATTTCTGGATTCCATTCCATATTGGATTTATTTTCCTAAAAACTTTCTAAAGATCCATAAACTTCGAAATTAAACATCACAGACCTTGCTGTTCTCCCTGATGATGTGAAACAAATAATAACAGATGCCTTGACCTTGATGGCAGCCCGCACCTGTGGTTTAATATAATAATCAAAAGAATAGTGTAAGCCGAATATGTTTCTTTTCCCGATAAACTAGTTAATTGAAAAGAATTGAGATTTAAAGAAAGCCCACCGCAGCGGATGCAATAGATTCCAAGTGAGACATTGGTTCTCCAACATTTTTAATAGCTCTCTTGAAATAGTGGTCTTGGTTGAAAACCTTCTCAGCCTGCATAAAGGATTTATGTAACTTCCACTGGTAGACATGATGTTCAATCAAACGAAAAAAATTGATACCAAAAACAAATGCAACTGAAAGGTTACCGCAGTTAATGCATTTATTTTTAATTTTTTCACATTTGTAACATCCTTGTGGCATTTTGAGTCCATTTCCAATGAAGCTAAAAGCATAGCATTGACAATGTTTTAGCTTCATTTTAAAAATAAACTAAGCTAGAATGACACATTTATGATTTATCTCTCCTTTATTCTTATTTACGATGAAACCTACGCAGTAAATGAAACGATACAAACATCTAAACAAAACTAACTTATTATTGCACGCTGTAGTAGAGGAATTATGATGTTTGGATAAATAAATAAAAGTTAAATAAATGTTTAGATAATCATATGCAAATACTTAAATCCAGATAGATACAAACTAAAGGAAACTGACCTCAGAACAAATTTTGCCAACAATCGAGATAGTCTCAACAGGATATAATCCTCGCAAGGTCTCTGCACCTAGGAGAATCGCATCACAGCCTGAAACAAGTGAACAAGAATCTCATCACTACCAAATACAACTGTAAAATGAGACACCACAACAATTTATGAGCAAAAATATTAGACTGATAAAGTGAGCATGACTAATATTTTTTATCAGGAAGGTGAGAACTACCATCTAGCACAGCATTGGCAACATCAGTTGCCTCAGCACGAGTGGGTCGCAAGTTATCAGTCATACTGTCCACAACACGAGTAACCACTGCTGGTTTCCCGGCCATGTTGCACTTGAACAGTGCAACCTTCTGAAAGAAAAACACCTGAAAAGCAATATAATGTAGTGTGAGGCCTCACACTTACTATGACAATGGAACCCAAAATAAAATATTTCAACCTCTACTCTCTTATGAAGCCATGTTTCGTTCCATATTATGATATGATTGGCAGTGTGAGGAAAAATGCATAGAGATACTTTCCAAAGAAAAAATAAGACCCACATTAAGAACATATATCCTAGTGCCCTGTTAGTCGTCACAACCAAATTACTTGAACATAATTGCATGTAAATGCACCTTCTCAGGGGGGAGATCAACCCCTAGATTTCCTCGGGCAAAAATGATTCCGTCTGCTTCTTGTAGAATCTCGTCAAAGTGTGTCAATCCCTGTAAGGAGATGAAAGTTGAAAAATTATCAAGCTCTAACTTGAGCTAGCAACCCATTTGTGTTCCAAAAGAGCCTGAAAAATGTCTGACCTCCACATTTTCAATCTTTGCAAAAATTTGAGCTTGACTCAAATCCCCTAACTTGCAAAGAAATTCACGAGCCTAATATGACAAGCCACAATATAATTAGCCAGAGAAGCCATCCATCAGTTTCTCTACATCTAGTTCACTCACATGTGATTAGAAACAAATGTATAATACAAAGAAATATGATTACAGGAAGCAACAAAATGATTTACATGTCGAATGTCTTCTGCATGTCGTGTATATGACAGTGAAAGAAAGTCTATCTTGTTCCTAACTCCCCAAGTGATTATGACCTACATCAGTGAAACATCAGGACCAAGCCGATCAGAACACTAGAAAATAAGCTATATTTGGTTAATCATTTCAATAAGATGGCTAGTACAACATACTAGTGTTTTTTTAAAGTTCTTAGAAACCATAGTTAATAGATAACAAGCTAAAAACTCATTCAGCATTGATGCATAATAATTTGTATAATCTTTCAATGATACTCCGTATGAAATATGAAGCATGTTTGTACATAAAACCATACAAAATTGATTGTTTCAAAAAATACCTATCATTCTACCGTACACATAGCCTGCATTCTTCAAACATTTTTAGTCATCCTATCATACACTGAATTGATTACTTCACTACATAGTAAGATTTATGATCTAAGAAGAACAGCTTACCTCCTTATCCTGTTCAGTCAGGGTAGGCTGATCAATGTGAATTTGAGAGACGTGTAAAGTGTACAAAGAACCGCACAAGGTGGCAGCATTTTTTATCAGGCAAACCACATCCTCTCCTTTAACCTCAGTTACCTGCATCAAACTAAATCTCTCAGAATCTCCATTGTGTTAGGCACTTAGGCTCAAATGGCTCAATGACCTTGAACAAAACCTTTTTTTATTTCTTTTAACAACGGGTATTTAAATAGATAGCAATAGCAAATGGCCGTAAGCCTTTAATAAAGAATGGTACAAGAAGAAGCATCTAGCTGCTGATATATAAGCTGTAATTAAAATCTCTAGATCATACCTCAAGCCACACTGAGGTAGTTTCACTTCCTGTGAACAAGTATTGACCAATAAAAATGTTGTCTCCGGTTTTCACCGACTGCAGAAACAGAACATTGGCATCTGAGTTCAAGAAATTACAATATTGACCTATGCATACAACAAAAACAACTCAGGACGGTGACACCAGTTGGGTCTAGAGATGGTAGATCCGTAGATGTATGTATGCCTTACCTCAAATAGACTGTTTTCGAAAGACATTCGACTCAAGAACAAATAAAAGTTTCTAAATATCTATACTTATGATCATGGAATAATGGATGTTTCATAGAATAAAAAGCTCATGGCTCTCATTTCTACACGCTGACCTTTGCTAAGCAGCTAAAATTTATAGGGAGTAGATTTGAAGTGGCTTCCTTTTCTACATCGGGAGTCAAAACCAGTAAGGAGTCTGCTTGAAGAGAAATAGGATGGTTGCTTTTATTGATGACTTGCATTTCCGGGCCAATGGTGTCCAGCATAACCTGTAAGATAATTAAGACCGATCCATCACTAGCTCTAAACTACATTTACAGCATCAAACCGGGGATCCGAACAACAGATCATAGAAAACCAAGCTAATAGAGAATCACTTACTCCACACATCTTCTTCGTGTTCTTAGAGGCCGTCTTCAAATTTTCTAATGTCTCCTGATGATACTCAGAATCGCCCCAGGAAAAATCAAAGCGCGCAACTGTTACACATAATCCAAAGTACACACGCAGTGCAGAAAGCAAAATTGTTACAGCTCAAATGCAAAAATGAGTCAAATAAATAGCCACAAAAACGAAGGATTTTAGTTGTGGAATACCAGACATTCCAGATTTGAGGCATTCCGAAATGGTGTCTACAGATCGCGATTTCGTTCCCAGCGTCCCTATGATCTTCGTCATTGCCGGATAGAAGCTCTGCACAGCATTTATTAGATTCACTAAAAATTGCGTCGGTGTACAAAACAAAAATCCAGAAACCGAAGATCAAGTTGAATCAAGCATGAATCGGACAATTTAACTTCAACATTCCATAAAAGCAATGCAGTGTGGCAGAATTCAAAATAAAAAGGCAAAATCAAACAGGCTATGGAGAATAAGCGATTCAACTCACCGATTTCGAAGGCTCGAGAATGGAAGCCATCCGAATCGGCTCTTCCAGTAGCAAGCTCGACGAGTTCATCTCCGATCGCGGATTCCTCGAACACTAGAAACTTCAGAAGTTCAGAGAGGGAGGGAGGGAAGGTTACTGTAGCGTGCTGATGAAGATACAATCGAGGTTGAAGAAGAACGTGTATCACGGGGGTATTTATTTCGAAGTTTGAATGTTCTGATCAACTCTTCAATTTCTTCTTCTTCTTCTCTCTTTTCCATTTTTTTTACTCCGTATTTAAATACTGGCTTGCTAGGCGCGGGATGGGAAGGTTACTCCGTTACTGTAGTAAAGAGGGGAATTTTCAGAGTGAATTGCGGAGCAAGTTTCTTTCCTTTTTCTAAGCAAACATATCTAAAATACTACGCCCCTCTTTGACAACAACGTTAGAAATTAGCATTTTGTAAAAATTATTTGATAGTAATCTTTAGCGCTAGTATTTTTAGAATTAATACATATCATTAAAATTTTATCCAAAATGTTAACGCTAATAAAAAAAATGTGTTTCCAAACAAGGTCTACCTCCGTCCGTGTTTCAAAGTATTTGTTCAATTTTGATTTTTTATAATCAATTATTTTTATTTGTAATTAAATAAAATATATATCGTATATAAATTAGATAAAAAACTATTTTAAAAATATTTTAGAAAATTATTTTAATATAATTAATTTTGTATTCTATCTAATATCACTTTTATTTAATTTATGATTAAAGTTTGATATTTTTAAACCAAAAAAAGTCAAAAATAAACAAATATCCTGAAATGAAGATAGAGGATACTCCGTATGTTTTAGATATTTTGACTTTGAATAACCTTATGTCAAAGTAAGGCTTATTCAAGATAAATTTATAATCAAGAGTTTTTTTCTTCATTCAATGTATTATTAACATTACATTTGTTTACAAATTTAAAAAAAGTTTATAATCTCTAAAATATTATGTAAAATTTGCACTAAATAGGACTAAAACATAATAACTTTCCTAATGTAGGACTTAAACTTTTTTATTCTCTAAATAGGACTTAATAATGACCTTGTGGAAGGAATAATGTCCAGTCATGACGGACATTTACTTGAATAGTGACTACTTAATAATGACCAAAAGTCCTATATTAAGAAATAAAAACATATGGTCCTATATTGGAAAAGTCATTATGTTTTAGTTCTATTTAAGTAAATTACTCAAATATTATCACCCATTCACCCGTACTACTTAGGCGACGTTGCCAATCCATTGTCTCCACATACAAAAAAAAGGTTATTGCACCAATATCACTTGTGGTTTCGTAAATATGTATCGTACACCTTTGTTCATGGTTTCAAAATTTATACTATTGTCCCTCATGATTTTGATATTGTTGAGTCAATGTCTCTCTAGACAAAAATACCCTTCAAATATCAAGTGAATAGATTTGCTGCTTCTTATGATTTTTGGAAATGAACATCAACGCAAATTTTTCCTTTTTCTTTGTTGTTTTCTTTTTCTTTTCTTTTTTCATAAAGAGTATAAACGTATTTGTGTTTAAACAATGGAAAGTTGTTTTCCAAAATTATATTTTTTTAAAAATTAAAAAAATATAAAATGTTTGTGTTTTACTTTTTGTCTAAAAGTTTTCATTTCTTTTGAATATGTCAGGACCAAAAAAATTGTCATTTTTTAGTATCCAAACACTATAGCATATTGCTACAAAAATTGCAGCTTCCACATTCTTTTCTTATGGGAAATCTTTATAATATAAATTATATAATCTTCCTCTCTACTTTCTCCATATAGTCGTGTTCTCATTAACTTATTTTTTTATACTTATTACTTATTTTTATTGAATTCAGATTAGATTAGATCAAATCTGATCAAATTATAAATAGTTTTAAATATAACTACATTTAGATTAGATCAGACCACATCAGATCATGATTTAATCCAACCAGATCAGAACGGATAAGATCAGGTGAAGAGAACATGATAATCTATCAATACCAGCATTATCTTTTCTCCATCATAGCTCTTACAAAAATACACTTACAGAAAAGGTAGCCAATAAAATTTATATACAATCCGTATTTAAAAAAAATACTTTAAAAGTGCTATAAAAGATGATGATAGGAAAATATATTTTTATTAAATGATCAATAATAATATGTAAAAAAAAGTAAAAATAATTTGACTCCTTGAATACTAATTTAATGTAAAACATTATTATAAGATTGAGAGTAATTTCTAAGATACTCCGTATTTCTTTACAATTATTAGAATTTTTTTCATTTTGTTTGCATGAAAATGAGAATGTAGACCATTTGATTAGAAAGTATGGAATATTTCTCTTCTTAAAAGATTTTCAATTATGGGTTATGATGGTTGATAGAAATTATTTTCAATTCAATTTATATAAAAACAAATGTAAAAGTTTATATATTTAAAAAAACTAAATTGAAAATAGTGTATAAGAAAGTTTTTTGGGGTTGGTGCATAGTTTAACCACCATCAAACCTAAGGTGTAATCTAGTGGGTAAATTTGTGTTTATCACTAACAATGTTCATTTACTTGAGTGATGCCGTAATAATTATGGTTCCCCCTAAATTGTCAAAACTATGGACCGAATCAAAGGCACACTAAGGACAGATCTGTCAAAAAAATGTTGTTCTTAGGGTCGGGAAACTATCCCTTCACAAGTTGCAATATCATTTATTTAAGTTAAATGATAGTCTTCAGCTGTAAAAAAATAGAATTGAAAATAAAGTCAAGCAAATCTCGTAATGCATAATTAGAATAGTAAACATGCAACTTAATTTAAAACAGAGAGAGTAACATTTTTTATATTTCTGTAATGTTGTAGGTTAATATTTAAATTGTTAAAATTAAATGCTTTTATTAGAAAATATTTTTAAAATATTAAAATTAAATGTTCAAATTATTCTCAAATGATATATTCTCCCACAAAAGCTATTGTAAAAAGGTTTCTCTCCTTGGTTAAACAAAACGGGTAGCTTGACCACAAAAAAAATCAGCTGCCGACCCATTGGTTTCCCCTTCTCTTTTCAGTTTTCTTCAAAGGTCGTTGATGATACGTATATCAAAAAAGATAAAGAAAAACACAAAGGAGAAAAGTTATAAAGACAGTCATTGATACTGGGCCGACCCTGAGTAGGCCCAAATCCAAGATGGCAGTCGTCATAATTGAAGAGCCCCAAAATTTTACTCACTCTTTCTATTAAAGATTGTCCTAAACAAAATTGTTGAAAAAAAAATATAAATTTGTGGTGCATATCAATTTTTTCTGCACAAACCTTAACCAATCACATTCTAATTCACAGCACTAAGAGAAAAGTTTAAATTATTTACAAAAATGCCACCTTGAATTTTTATACATTTTTTATTGATGATTTGATAAAATAAAATATATATTTCACTATTTGTTTCATAGAAACATTGATGTTATTTTTAAATATGTAAGTTGTAGTTTTGTTTTTCTATACAAATATGTATATAAAATTAGAATAAGTTATATATCTGATTTTTTTATAATACACGATTTTCAATATTTAGTTTTCTATTATCAAATATTAGCATTTTAACCCTAGATGGAGTTCTTGTGACACCCACGTTTGGTGACACTAGCGGTGCCACTGTCATTTTGGAGCACTTTTGGTGCTCCATTCGTAAAATCGATAGTTCCTACCCCCCTAACCCACTCCCTAAACCCCCCACTCCTACCCCTGCCCCTGCACCCCCACCCCAACCCCACCGTAAGCCTCCCCCCCACAAAATGTGTGGCAATTATGCATTACATAATAGCCACACATTTGGGGGAGGGGGGCTTACGGCGGGGTTGGGATGAGGGTGCAGGAGCAGGGGTATGGGGGTTCAGGGGGATAAAAACCGTCAATTTTATGAATGGCGTATCGGAAGTGTCTCAAAATGACAGTGCGGAAGTCAATGAATAACACGTCAGGGTCCTTCATGTATTGTCTTTTTTCTCAATATGCTGATATCTTCACCAAAGGGCTCACATTCGTGTTGTTCATTCACTTCCGCACTAACCTTGGAATCCATCCACCATCGCAACCAACGTAGCTATGAGCATGTTAAATGTATTATATATATTTATTATTTTTATATTATTGGTAGTTATCTTATGTATATGTTTTCTTTTATATTATCCTACCACTACTAGGATACAAACTCCTTGTATATATATTGTTATAGTCTCCCAAAAATTAGTTAAGGAAAATATTCATTCTCAACACCTGATGGTGTAAATATAACCGAGTAGGTTGACCGGGTCTGACCTGGACACACTCTACTCGTACACACACAATCAGAACACAAAGTATGCCCTAGACTGGGTAAAACTCCTCAGTCCAAATTATATTTTTTACTTTGTCTCAAGAGTGTACTTTTAGTGAGATAAAGATTGGATCCCCCTTCTATCCATAATCATAGGAGGATATGTGACCTTCCCCTGTGCATCCATGAACAAAATAGGAAGCTCATGGGAAGGTCACTGTACATAATGGAATTACTATTCAATCATGGACTTGCCATGAATACAACCAAGAAGCACTGTTCGATCAATGATTTTAAGAGGATGTCTCTATCCAATCAATCCTATAAGACAACAAATATTCTTTCCACTGTTTGTCTCGTGGAGGATGAGCGGCGGAGTGGTCCCCCGATCTTTGACATAGTTCGCCATGCTTAAGAGACTGGACCAATGTTAGGCAAGTAGAGTGATATGATCAGTCACCTTTTCCTAAAGGTTATCCGGTCATTTCTTGAGCCCAACCCATCTATTTGGTCTTCCGTAATGTCCTTCGTAACATTAAGTGGTATTTTGGCTATCGCCCAAAATGTGACCATTCTTTTTTTTAAGGAAAGTGACCGGTCAATTTTTGACCCGTCTCTTTCGAAAAGTGTACATCATTTTGTAATTGTAAAAAGTGACCGGTCAACTTTTGACCCGTCCTTTTCGGTTAATCGGGTCGGGTATAAGGATATATCCATCAACACCAAGTTGACAAGAATGTCAAAAAACACACTATCGGTGAAAAAGTAATTCGTAAAAAAAGATCATGAACACATTATTTGAAAATAAAAGACTAAATATTGAAACAAAATTCTGTTAAAAAACCCAATTGTAAAGTATTTCACAGAATCATTTCAGAAGAGATACTCCCTGTAATTTTGCACATCGTTGTTCCAAACATCACATTCAATAAAAATAATGGAAAATGAGTTGTTTGAACTTTGAATTGACACACTATTTTTAAAGGATGAACTGGCACACTATAGTACTTGTCCGTAACCATTACTCCCACTCCGTCCATCAATTCAATTTACCAAATTTGATTGAAACTATATTTAATTCAATTTATTTAACTATATAGGTGTAAAACTATTTATTTGACTACGTCAAAAATTTTATGAAATAAGAGTTGACAAAATTATATTATGTTATCAAATAACTAATAAAAATAGGTAAAAAAAATGATTTAAGTTTGACCATACGTAAATATTGACTGGTGAGATTATTTTAAGATGGAGAGAGAGCATCAGGGCAATCGGCTTGTCCTCTAGTCAAACCCAAACAAAACGACAGCACGCCGAATGGGAAACGATTGAACTGTATGCTGTCATGATAAACTACTACTCCGTACTAAAAATCAAATAAATCCTTTCCAAGTGAGTCCAAAAAACTACCCAACAAAGAAAGGGTCTTTGCCCTAACAGCCACTTCCCCATCTTTTCCACAGAATCTTATTTGGCTTTTTCCCCATGTCAGGCATCTGTATTCTGTATTATGCCCTTCTTCTTTATCTTTCTTCTTTTTCCCCATGTCAGGCTTTTTCCCCATGTCAGGCATCTGAGATTCAACTGTTGCTACTCAAGCTTTGCACAAATGATTATCATCTTTGTTATCATCCGTGTCACACAGATGATTATCATTTGTGTCATCTTTGCGAAGCTTGGGTGCACCCACGGTGACCCTATTTCATAATTCACCCTTCATATAACTGTGTGGAGGAAAATCCTTACAGATCAAGAACAATCACAACTTAATCTGTACATCTATATAATCTATCAAGAAAATGAAACAGTTTGAAACAATGTGTGTGGAAACTCAGTCAGTACTCACAGTCTCAAGGATGCTCAAAGTAGAAAATCCCATTTTTTCCCACCGGCGAAAAGCGTCCTTTCACAAGAAAGATATATGGTACATACATTAACTGGATTCACTATGGGAGAAGGCTCTGCAGTTGTCATCAAATGTTCTAACCTCTGTACCACATCTCCATAGATAGTTCAAACCAACGAGTAGCTCGGTAATTGTGGCCTCTACTTTTTCTTGATTTGCAAAGTGAAGGGTTTGTACGAGTAGCATGTTAGTTTTGGACACCAAACTATGGCGCTCGAAGCTCCTCTCGGACTGCCATCTTATCATGTTATGGGCAAGCGGAGCGAGCCATTCCAGCATTCCTGCCAATGCCTCGTTCCACTCTTTGACAAGAGCCATGTCGCACATTGTTGAGCTCGGTTTCTTGGCATACGGTCTCAGTTTTGCTCTTAGGGCTACTCTTATGTTGGCTGGCAGCATACTGTATAGGTCATCCCTTGCGTCGTGCCCTATCAAGTGAGGGGACGCCACTAGTTTCTCAATCACAATGATAACATTTGCATAGTGCAATGCCAGGGCAGCTGCCCCTAGAGTCCCATGGGGGGCACTCGTCAAACTTCTTTTTGAACTGAAATCCGGCAAGTGGAGGTCAATGTGATTGCCGATTACATCTGTATTCATACTGGTACCTGTTAAAAATACAGAATGTGGTCGTTACAAAAATGTAGTAATCCTAGTTTAGTCGGGTCATTCTTCTGATCAGCACAAAAAGTAAGCATCTGTTTGGGTTTGAGCCCAATATTTCTCTATGTTAGCAATGTAATAATCTTTACAAGTACCTTTGGTCGTATCAAGAGGAGCACCGCTCCAGCCAATATATGCCGGCTTATTGGCTCTTGCGGCTGGGGGGTTTCCCTTCAAGTTTCTTGAACGGCCACGTGAATGCCACCACTTGAGGGCAGTTTTATTTGCTCTGGAGATGGGACCTGACATGGCTTGTGATGTTCCAAGGGGACCCGAATAGAAGTTAGCCACCTTATGCCAGCCAGAAACCGGTGTTCTTATAGGACCCGAATGAAAGGTGCTCATATTTGTTGTTTTCGAGATCGGTCCAGACTTGGTGAGAATGTTTTCTAATGGTTCTGAAGAAAATCTTGAAAGACTGGTTTCAGTTGGATGAACAGAGGATTGGGCGTGCGAAACTGATTGGCTCCGGTGAATGTAATCTGATTCAAGAGATTTTGAGTCTCTAACTTCTGCGGGATTGGGATTCATCCCAAAAACATGCCCAACCCTATGAAATGCAGTGAAAACCGATCTTGCTAGAAGGCGAAGAGCATAATCATAACTCTTACTCCAAAGAGATATCTCTTTGAGATGTTTCACTTCCCGTTGCTTCCATCCCAATCTGATCTTCTCACGATCAATTAAAACTAGCCGGTCCGTATTGTTATCATTACTACACTTCATTCTATCCAAAGTCTGTGCAATGCCAGCTAGTGTTTCCATTTCTTGGTACAAAATGGAACTGGCCATAACAAAATGTTCCATCTTCTTGACCTTTCTGTCCATCTTCTTGCATGTCATTTGCCAATGAAAAGGGTCAGAACCGTCTTTGACCAAATCGTTGAAGGCTTGTTCAAAGCTCCTCAAGACAGGGTCCTTGCAGTTCTTTGCAAGCCTAGAAACAGCCATTGCCACATTACCCAAGTTCTCAATTATCTCATTGCATATCAACCTGACAATGTAGACATCGTCTTCCGATACGAGTTTTCTGATTCCCGGGGAATTCATAATCTCTTCCCTCATGATTGCAACCTGCCTATCACTTAGAAACTTCCACAGATGAACAATCTTAGCCATTAAGCTTGAAACTTCAAAGGCCAACACTCCAATTAAATGCTTCTTGGAACCATTTCCACCCTTTGTTGTTTTCCAGAAACTACGCGACCAAAACTCGGCAACCATGTCTGAAATTAATCAAAGATCTACAAGCCAAACAAACCAGAACTGCTGAATAAACACAAGCAAGAAAAAGATCATCTCTAAAGTTAATAAACCATCAATTCATAACTCAGGTCACTCAACTGGGTCATAAAATAGGTACTTACATAACACAAAGTACTCCAAAGCACAAATGTTCAAACCTCCAGAAACCAACAAACAAACAAAGAAGAAGAGATTTGAAATCTGGAAAAAAGATTACTGAAAAGATATCCCAAACAGAAAAGATTGAAGAAAAGTTATCCTTTTCCGTTTCACGTGGACTTGATGACACGAAAAATAAAACTAATTATCCCTTTCCCGCATTTCCTGCCACCCCATTGGCCATTTCAATGAGAATAACCTCAACAGAAAGGCTCCATATCTCATAAAGATTGGGATCTTTCCGGAATTCTATCTGCGGATAATTGAACAAAATCACATCACCAAACCTAAAAAAAGCAGACGAATCTCGAAACACCCAGACACCTCAACAAGATTCCAAGCAAAACACTATGAAATCTCAAGTTTTGAGTCCGAGAAAGGGATCGGTAAACGGGTCAGACTCGTACGAAATGGAAACTCACTGATTATAAGGGGAGTGCGACCGATAAAGTGAATCAAAAGCAGGACGAGCAGGGAGAAGAAGAAGAAGTGGAGAGAGTGCTTTCACGCTCACACTCCACAAACCACAAGCGGGCGGGGGGAGGAGTTGAAGGAGAGTGGAAAACGAGTGGAATTTATGGGCGCATTTATGTGTATTTGGCCGTCAAACCCCTACCTTTTTTTTTTTTGAAAAAAAAAACCCATACCTTTTTGAGTGGTGTTGGATTGCTAGGACCTATGAGAGTAGGACACCCACTACCTCTACTAGCTCAATTGGTTGACTATTCAGTCGATAAATGTTGCGCTGTTGGCAAAGATAAGACTATTCAGGTTCAACTCCCTGCCACCAACCTGTGATTAAAGTCCAATATACCTTCTCTCAATAACCGTCCGCTGAGTCTGAGTGAACTCTCGAGGATGAGGTTCATCCTTTAATTGCTTGACTATCTGTGAGAGACATAACTGCCTAATCAATGTCGCAGAACCCTTGCAGATGGGGTGTCATCCTTTTTTAAAAAAAATTGGTTGACTGGTTGAGGATGAAAATGAGTACGGCTAGTCTTGACATTTGATAGCGACGATGAAGACATGAAAGGATTAGAGGGCATATTTGTTTCGGGCCATGTGTAGGGCATACTAGGGGGTAATAGAGTAATAACCATCAACTTTAACAACGAACCACTGCAGGTGTCTCAGTTAGAGGATAACCATATAATGACAATATCATTCTTATAGTAAAAGTCTTTATTATCGACCTGGTGTCTTTACAGTATAGATCTAAGATTCACTTTGATGAAAAATTTTGGCTCCATTACTACTCATTTCAGAGGAAGGTATTAATATCAAACCACTTAGCTTATACTTTTCATTTCATTAGCCACAGATTTTAAGTAAAATGTAATCCATTCACTAAATGGTATAGGATTGCTCCATTTTTTGAATTACTTAATTAAATAAAACAACCATTATGACTTGAGAAGGATCCGCATGATAGAATTATAACCACTTAACCATTTTCAATTCAGAAAATTACTCTGCGCACCCTCAATTATCTGGTAAGCACTCACAGATCCCACAATATCTAAAATATACTTTGGAGTACCCTCGATTTTCTCGTAAGAACTTTCAGGTCTCACATTATTTAAAATATACTCCGGGGATCCTTAAAATTTGTGGTAATGTACTTCAAGGATATATTCTGTCCATTTGGTCATTATTAAATTTTAATAAAATCCTTTCATTTATAATCATTATTGTATTAGGAGAATGATTTGTCAAAGTAACAAGATTTTCAATGCTGGTTGAACTTTCAATCCTGACGATCAAATAGACGAAATGTACCATCGGAGTACATTACCACAAATTTTAAGGATCCCAAGATTATATTTCAGATAATGTGGGACCTGGGAGATCTTACAAGAAAATTGAGGGTACACTGAGATATATTTTATGTAATGTGGGACCTGGGACTTCTTACGAGAAAATCGAGGGTACCCTCGGATATATTTTATATAATATGAGACCTGGAAGTTCTTACGAGAAAATCAAGAGTACCGCGGAGTAATTTTTTTGATTTTCAATTACTTAATTATAACAAATAAAGGATTTGCATGTGATTCAATTAGAATTCAATTCTATTCAATTTAATTACATAGAATTTAGATTCCAATTAAATTCCAAATTTGTGTACCAAAGGGAGCAGGCTTCTTTGCATTTCAAGGTCCGAACAGTTTTCCTCTTCTTCTCCATTTTTTAATTGAAAGGTTTTTAATTTTGGTTTTTTGTTCTTTACTTTTAAACGTTATTATTTTTAGGTTTTGTAGTTTTAAAAATTTTATATGAATTTTTTTTGTTTTTAAATGAAGTGTTTTAAAAATAACAGTCTAAAATAAAACTAATGAAATGAAAATAAAAAAGAAAAAGGGATTCCATATCCCTAGATGTGATGAAATGGGAAAAGTTAATGTGTCGCTAAATTTAAAGATGAAGGTAGTAGGAAAACCATACACCACACCCAATAGTGTTTTAGGAAAAAAAGGATGACAGCCTATTCCTTCATGCCTGACCCGGATAGTGGCGTTGTTTGGATGTTGGCTGTCAGCTGTTGGCTGTTGGCAGTTCGTGTCAGCTGTTGTAAATAGCTGTTTATTTCAGCTGGTTTAACCGGCAGGATGAATTGACTGATTGTTAAAAATGTTTGGTAAAATTAACTGTTTGAATACACACACACACACATATATATATATAGACACACGATATTTATTTTTAATTTTTTTTACATGTAAAAATTAAATCTTTACTATATGGAGTATTAAATTTTACTTTCATTTAATTCATAAGAAATTATTAATATACAACTTTTTAATGATTTTTACTTTTGATTTTCTCATTTCATTTTTTTTGAAATTTTTAATTTTTAAATTTAATTTTTTTAGTATTTAATTTTTTTAACTTTTATTTTTATTTTTAGTTTTTACATATATTATAAAATATCTTTCAAGAAAAATGACTTTAAAAAAATTAATTTTCCTAACATCCAAGTCCAAATGCTACTCCCCTTGGCATTTCAGATTTTGGCTTTTCGGATCAAAATGCCAAGTAAAAAAGCCATTAGCCAAACAACGATTTTGACTGTTCGCTCAGTCAAAAAAGCCAAAGTCAGTCAAACATGCCAAAAGCCATCCGAAAAGCCGTTTTCCAAACAGGGCCAGTATACCTGAGAGGAGATAAATGAAGATCTAATTAAGTAAGCTATAAAAAATGAGATCTCTCCCCAATTTCAATAAAGAAATATTTGTGCATAGCATAAATCATATCCACATTTGTCTTTGTTAATAATCAAATCTGGCCATTTAACTTTTTAACACATTTTATTGACCACTTGAAGAACGTCCCGAGTTAATAGTCTAATAGGAAGGACTTTTGGAGTTGTGCTTAAGGCATAAGAAAAGAAAAACTCAATAAACATCAGCATCACCTTAGCTCAACATTTGAAATTGGAGTCCAAATGAGAGAGCCCGCTAAAGCCCCTCCATGTGGGCGGGCCTTTCAGTTTTGAGCAACGGGCTTAATGAGATGAAACCTTCTAAGCCCAAACCAAAAAACGAGATGAAATTACGAGTCCACCCTTAGTTTCGTCTCGAATTGCAAGGCTACCTCCCTTCCCCATATCCTGAGAGGGCGGCTCAATCGCCTTCTCCAATCAGCTCCGCAGCCGGCCAACAATGGGGAAGAGCAACGATTCCATTGCGAAAAGGAAGAACAAAAAGATCAGAAGAAAGCAAAACGAGTCCTCCACCGTTTCCGAGCGAGTGGCCGCCATCATCGCCGCCAAGAAGCGCCGCCAGTCCGGCAAACGCCGCCTGTGCCAGGTATTTTTTTTCCTTACCCATTGATTTTTAATTCTCATTTGGTTGTGAATTGCTGTTTATGATATGAGTTCTTCAATCTAAACTATGGAATTTACGTTCAAGTGTATTTTAAACTGCTATATCAGTCAATAAGAAGAAATCTTTTGCTCAGCATATTGGCATTTAAATTAGTGAAAATACTAAATCATCAAACATCTCAAACAGCATTTTGACTGGTAAAAAATGCTGAAAATAAGCACAGTGCTTAGTAAAATGATGTTTACCAATTATGAACATAGTTTCAGTCATGAGCCCGCAGTTTTAGAGTAGTAATGGTTGTTGGGTAGAGAAGAGAGACACATAGCTTAAGAGCAGTAGTGGTTGGTGGGAAAGTTCAAAAGTATTTATTTTGGAAGATAATATTTTATAAAGCAGCAGACCATTTTCTCCAAAAAAAAAAAAGAGAAGTGGGAACGATACTATAAATCTGGGAGAGTAACAAAGTGTTCATTGTAGTGATTTTTAAATTGCATTGTGCGTTTTGCTTATATGTATTCATTGATAGTGATAACTTTACATTGACTTACAATGGTCGTAATCTATTATGAATGAACAGAGTATGTGTTTCAGCCTACCTACGCCCGAGGACCCCTTCAATGACAGGAATGGGAAACCAGATCCTCTGAAGATAAAAAAGCAGCTGAAATCCAAGAAAGATAAAAAAATTGAGAAAAAGAGGATTGCACCAGACAAAAAGAATATCCAACTCGAGAACTTACGGGCGGAGCTATTAGGGAAAGCCAAGAACCCAGAAAATACAGCACACCAAACTACTGGAAATGGGATTTTAGGCGATGCGGAAGAGGGGGATATTTTTGATAAAAATGAAGATTGTCCATCGAAGTTCTTGATGTCATGCTTGAACACAATTCAGAATGCAGTGCTGCATGATGGAGCATTGAATAACGAGGCAGGCAACTCGTTTGTTGGGTCTTCGTGGGGGACTAAATTTTGGAACTGTTTTACCAGTGGAAAAGATATTATGGATACAAATCAATCACATTCTCATGTTGAGCAAATTGCTTGGATTGCATCAACTGCTGCTGATAGTATGTCGAAAAAGCAGAAAGGACTATCATTGACAAACCCTTTCCTTCTGTATCTTGTTCCATCTCAAGAGAAAGCTGTTAAGGTTCTACAAACTTTCATGTAATTTATTGTTTTTTAAAAGCATAGTTATGATATTCGTCCTTGCAGATATTTTTTAGTTGTTGCTCTGCATAAATTATTTTCTTTGCTATTCATCGCATTGGAGCAATGGGGCAAATTTGAAGCTAGGGTCAGGTGACAAATATGAGGAGAAGTTCTATCGGTCGGTGGTTAGACAAACTACGTTGTAGAGAGCATAGTGCTAGGCGGTGAAGAAAATTCACGTAATGTCGCTTCGAGTGGCAGTTTGGAAGAGACGAGGATGCTGAGGTAGATTTATGGTGATACAAGAATGAATAAAATCCGGAATGAGTTATTTGGGGAATTCTGGGAGTAATCCCTTTGGAGGATAAGTTGTAGGAAGCGAGACTGGGATGGATTGGAGTTTGGACACATTATGAGTACGGAGGCCCGAGTGAGGAGATGCGAGAGGCTTGGAGAAGGGGGTGTTTGGAGGAATAGAGGTTGACCTAGGATGAGTTTGATTGAGGTGATTAGACAAGACTTCAGGATCTTACATAGGATATGACCTTAGTTAGAATTATAGAATGTCTTCAGGTCCGTGTGTTTAGTTAGATCTTCGGGCTTTAGTTTGTAGTTCCGACTGATGTGCTTTTATGCTTTAGTCTGTAACTGCTGGCTGTTCCATGTGTACTTTCTGTCTGTGTTTCAAGTGTATGTATGCATGTTTTTGTATGTGCTCTTACTGTATTTGTGCCGCACTGCCGCTTTCATTTTTCGTTCTGCTCACTTCTGCTATTGGATTTTGAGTAGGGGGTTTGTTGAAAACAACCTCTCTACTTTCCAAGTAAGATCAAGGTCTGCATTCACACACACCCAAACCCCACTTTTGTGGAATTTTACTAGGTTGTTTTTTTTTGTTTGTCCCTCTCTGTTACAAAAACTGATAGGGCTCACAAACTTGAGTCTTGCTATAGAAAGATGGAATCATGAGTTTCTTTTAGCTTAGACAGTTTGACTAGAGAAAACTTTAGTTTCAATATGTGAGCCAGACCAGTTTTTTATTTTTTAAATGGAAGTGTATAGAGACTCTAAAGAAACAGTGTAAAATATAGGAATTACCAACCAACAACAACCCAGTTAAATCCCACAAGAGTAGGGTCTGGGGAGGGTGTGTGTACGCAGACCTTGCCCCTACTCGAAAGTAGAGAGGCTGTTTCCAAAGAGACCCCCGGCTCAACATCGAAAGTTGCAGTGTTTGACTAACTGCTACTTCATTAATTAAAGAAGCGCAGATAGTTTAGAGATCCATTTTGATTTATTCCATCACACCCAAAGCCAAAAA